AATAAGTACAAAATAAGATGGAAAGAATAAAGTTAAGCATATCGGGCATTTTATAAAGTATGTTTGGACTGAAATCCTCTTACTTAAAAATACTTCGTTTAAAAAAAAGAAAAGATTTATGCTTTTTGCAAAATGCATACTTAAAATATAGCAATAAAAAGGTTGAAAATGAAAGAAGAACCAAATCAAGCCAAACAACGGAAAAGCACAGAGGTCATTGCCAGACCATTTTCCCATTGCGTTGCTAGACTGGTGTGGCCATGTGCTCTTTGAGCTATGGCAGTCGCCATGTTTCCTGGCTTTGGCCCCCTTCCCTACCTTGGGGAGGTGAATGCCCTCTTTCTCTCTCTCTCTCTGTCTAATTTACTTCCTAAATAAGCTATATTTTCTAATCTAAAAAAAAGAAAGAAAAAAGAAAAGCATAGAAAGATATTAACAGAGGCAGTTTTAATAGTGGACAATGTAGAATAGATTTTTTAAAAATTTAGATATGCAGATAAAACTTTTAAGACTGCAAGGGGATTTTGTTTCAATTAAAAAAATAAAGAACATAATAAAAATAATCATACGAGATTTTGTAGTGTATCTCTCCCAGAACAAAAACAATCTCTCTCTCACACACACACACACACACACACACACACTATGGAAAGAACATAAATAACATAATTATTAAACTTGATTGAACGTGTAAAATATTGTCACAGTTCATTCGGGCAGCTATAACAAAATACCAGGGAGTGAAGGGACTGACTAATGGGAAGGAAGGGGGGTGAGCATGACAGCACAAATGCAGGGCACCCAAAGGAAAGTCTGTTATTACTATGACGAGGATGTTTGAAATTACTGTTATGGACAAGGCCACCCAATGAAGCCTCACCAAATCTGCATGACTCACAATTTGCTGCACAACTATGGTCTCTACTGAAAAAATGGAAACCAATGCTCAGGAGATGACCAAGTACCCCAGTGACGACTACATTAAATCCTTCCACTCCATCTGTCCAGATAACATGTCTGAGTGCAGCAAGCAGATGCAGAGATTAAACGTTGGTGAGGACTATCCAGTATTGGATGGCCTGTTGGAGTTTTGTCAGTTGTCTACTGGTGGCTGGTGGCAAGTGCTATGAGACATCGCTGTGAATTGGGCTGGAGCCCTGCACCAGGCAAAGAAGTCTGAGGCATCTGGCGTCTGTTAGGTCAATGATATCGTCTTGGCCATCCTGGAACTGCTGCTAAAGTATCACCAGAGGATGCTGTATATTGACATTGATATTCACCATGATGATGGCGTGGAAGAGGCTTTTTATACCAGACTGGGTCATGACTGTGTCCTTTCATAAATAAGGAGAGCAGATGGCATGGAAGAGGCCTTCTATACCACAAACCAGGTCATGATTTTGTCCTTTCATAAATACGGAGAGTACTTCCCAGGAACTGGGGACCTACGGGATATGGGGGCCAGCAAAGACAAGTATACTAACTACCCTTTCCCAGATGGGATTGATGATGAGTCCTATGAAGTCATTTTCAAGCTGGTCATGTCCAAAGTAATGAGGATTTTTCAGCCTAATGCAATGGTCTGACAGTGCAGCTCAGACTTCCTGTCTGGGGATTGGTTACGTTGCTTCAATCTGATCATCAAAGGGCACGCCGAGTGTGTGGAATTTGTCAAGAGTTTCAACCTGCTCATGCTGAAGCTGGGAGGCGGTGGCTAGGCCTTTGGTAGTGTTGCCCAGTGCTGGACACTTGAAACAGGAATGGCCCTGGATACAGAGATCCCTAATGAGTGTTTTTTTTTTTTTTTTTTTTTGAGTTGGAGTCTCACTCTGTCGCCCAGACTGGAGTGCAGTGGCCGCTACTGGCCAACACAGCCTCGACCTGCTGGGCCCCGGCGATCCTTCCGCCTCAGCCCTCCGAGTAGCCGGAATTACAGGCATGCGCTACCACGCCCGGCTGATTTTTTGATTTATTGTAGAGATGAGGTCTCGCCTGCCCAGACGGGTCTCGAACCCGCGGGCTCAGGCAATCCACTCACCTCAGCCTCCCAAAGGTGCGGGATTACAGGCTGAGCCACCGAGCCCGGCTCCTAATGAGTGTTTATACGACTGCTTCAAATACTTTGGACAAGATTTCAAACTTCACATCAGTCCTTCCCATATGACGGACTAGAAGACTGAGTATCTGAAGAAGATTATACAGAAACTGTTTGAGAACCTGAGAATGCTGCCCTGCATACACCTGGAATTCAAATGCCATCCCTGAAGAGGCTGGCGATGAGGACAAAGAAAACCCTGGCAAGCACATCTCAGTCTGTTCCTCTGACGAATGAATTGCCTGTCAGGAAGAGTTCTCCAACTCAGTTGAGAAGGGAGAGGCTGGCCACAAGAACTCAGCTTCAAAAAGCCAAGAGAGTTAAAACAGATGAGAAAAAAGAGAAAGATCCAGAGAAGAAAGAAGTCATAGAAGAGAAAACCAAGGAGGAGAAGCCAGAAGCCAAAAGGGTCAAAGAGGAGTACAAGTTGGCCTGAGTAGACCCCTCCTGGCCTTGCCAAGTCCCTTACCTTTCTTCTACAACCTCTCAGATTTAATATTTTTGTGTATTTGTATTCAAATTTATTAAATATAAATATTCCCAGGGACTAGACAGAAACCGGAACCCTGAGTCCAGGGCAGCTGTGCTGGGTGGACTCTTCTGGGTGCGCCCTTGCCACCTATCATTCCCTGTTCTTAATTCTGAACCATAAAGGGTGCCAGGGCTAGGCGGGATAATTTTATGCAATCGTAAGACAAAATGCTGACATGCCAAGTGCCTGTTTAGTACCTTTGGAAAGGGGCTCTTCTTGAGCATTCTGTAAGAGGTGGCTAGGCCTTCGAGGGCCCTGGCTCTTTTCAGGCTCCTAAGGTAACATCAGCCATTTTTAGATGGGTTCTGTTCTCATACCTTCCTACTGTCCTCAAGTGAGCCAAGAAACTCACACTGCCTGCCCTCTGTCTTCCCCCAATTCTGCAGGTGGAACTTGGTAGTCTAGTTTCCTTTTTGAGATACTATTTCATTTTTGTGAGACTCTTTGTAATAAGATGGTACGTTTCTATTTTAAAAAATACTCTAGACTGGGTAGCATGTAAAAAACCAGAAATTTATTTCTCCCAGTTCTGGGACTGAAAATTGCAAGGTTAAGGTACCAGCAGATTTGGTGTTTGGTAGGGACCCGCTTTCTGGTTCATGCCTGGTAAACTTTCTTTCTATGCCCCTCACATGGTGGAAGGAAGCTTGCCAGGGCATCTTTTATAAGGGTACCAATCCCAATCCCAAGGACTCTGCGCTCATGACCCAATCACCTCCTAAGGCCCCACCTTCTAATAGCATCACATTGATGATTAGGTTTCAATATATGAATTTGGGGGGAACATAGACTTTCAAACTGTAGCAAATATTAACATAGAGCATTTTATTCCTTGACTATAATATGTATATGCACATATAAATATATTTCATGTTTCTATAAACTTTTATAAAATGAATCATGTGCTTAGCCAAACCCAAAACCAGATTCAAAGAAGTAGAAAGCTTGTAGGTTACATTCTCTCACCACAGTTCAATAAAGCTAATTGAAAATTAAGAAACATTCAATAAGACAAGTCTTGTATAAAAGAGGAAATTAAAGAAGAATGACAGAAATGCCCAGAAACATAGAAAAATTGAACACTTCTAAAATGATGAGAAATAGCAAAAAACTTAACTTAAAGGAAAATGTGTTACCTTTAATTAAGGAAGCAGAAAAGTGAAAAAAAAAGAAAGGAATCAAATACCTAATGAATCCAAGAAAGAAAAATAGCAAAAACAAAAGAAACTTTGAGGAGGGTATTAACAATGAAATTATTAAAAGAGAAAATAGTAGAAAGAGTAATTTTTAAAAAACCAACACAAATGGAAAGAGAAAGATTAGTAGAAAGATTAGTTATTTAAAAAGACCAATAAAATAGATAAATACCATATGAGCCTGCTAAGAAAAAGAAAATAAGATCAAAATTAGGCAAGATTAATTATTTATTTGACAGCAGGAAAGAGATTAAAAGAATTCTAAGTAAATACTAAAGATGACTCTGTAGCAGTATGTTAAAAAGACTAGAAGAAACGAATACTTTCATAGGAAAATATACATTATCACAACTGACAGAAGAAGTAAAAAACTTGAATAGACCAATTATAGAAGAAATTGGAGAAGTGATTAATGATCTACTATGGGAAAAGGCTGCAGGCAGATGAATTCACAGTTGAATTTTTAATCTTGCTATTAAAGAATAGCTAATTCCAATATTATTTAAACTATTGTGGGCCTTACAAAAAGATTAAAAGTTCTCCAGTTAATTTTATGAAACCAGAATAACTCAAATTTTTATCAAAGCCTAACTAGAAGAGTAAAAAGTACAGGCCAATTTCATTTCTGAATATAGACGTTAAATGTCTAAATAACATATGAGAGAATGCAATAGAAGATTGAATCACAAGAACAATATACCAGGGCAAAACAGGATTTATTGGAAGAGTGAAAGGGCGATTCAATATCAGGAAGTCTAGCTACATATTGATTGCATTAAAAATTAAAGGGGGAAAAAAGCCAGACCATTATCAATAAGTGAAAAAGGCATCAGATAAATGTCAAGTGACAATGCCAAGGAAAACCCCAAGCAAAATAGAAAGAGAAGGAAAATCCTTATATAATAAAGAAAAGCCTACTAGCAAATCATCCTAAGTGTCAAAAATTAAACCTTTCACTTAAAATCAGGAATCTGACAGGTACTACTATACCATAATCACTTACATTGGTGGCTCTGGAAAATATAAATAACTGGTATAAATGATGAAAAAGAAATAAAGGTCTTGATACTGATGATATGCTTGATTTTTTGTTTTTTAGAAAACCCAAGAGACTCGTGAAAAAATAAGTAATATGAGAACTTGGTGCATTGGATGAATACAAAATAAATCACAGAAATCACCATTCTTTCTTTATTCTGGCAAAAGCACCTAGAAAAGGAAATAGGAAGAACATTTCATTCAGAAGACAAGTGCTATAAAATAATTTGCTATAAATTTGGTAAGATGGTACAGGACATATATGAGTAAAACTATAAAATTATTATTGGGAAATGCAAAACAAAAGGAAAAGTTTATCATCTTCCTAGATAGAATGACTTACTGTCATTTCTCCAAAACATGCCAATTCTCAAAAAATGAATACATGGATCTAATGCAATCTAATTATTCTTTTTTCTCTTACATAAAATATCATGTGATAATTGAAAAGGGCCTAAAATCCAAGCCGTTACATATAAAAGTAATTGCGAATGAATGTATTTTTAAATTTGGGGCTTTTTGAAGATTTGTTGCAAATAGTAAAACAACACTGACAAAAAATAATTCTAAGCACTTTAACGCACACATTTCTATAGAATACATGCAAACTTATATTTAGTACATTTTAAATACCAGTCTCCCAATTTCTTCTCAAAAAAGGATAGGGCTAAGGGGTTTGTTTTAGGAGGCTGAATTTTTTTTTTTTGTATGCCCTGTATTGTTCTTGTCCTGTATGGTCTTTGTTGTATATTAGAACCAACTAAGAGCTTCATAGGAGAATATAGATTCCAGAGTCTCACCCAATAGCTCCTGCAATTAGAATTTGTAGCGAGAATTTTAAAAATCACCGGTCAAGTTATTCCTCAGGGTCTCTTTCCTGAACAGGGAATCCTAGAAAAGGTCACTCAATGTTTCCATTGAGAGGACTGTCATTTAAATCCTCTTTTTAAGAACTGATTCATTATCTTTTAGAAACGAGAGTTGAAAATACATTTAAAAAAATAAATTAAAAAATAGATTTTCTCTTGCAGAGGAACATGCAATGAACATTTTGTTCTCTATATATCAGGGGATAGTAAAAGTACGCTGAGATTAATGTCATGTATTGGTTTGGGTTTGAAATCCAGCTTTTGCCTCTTTCCAGCTGTGTTAACTTGGACAAATGAATTAGTCCTTGAAATTCTCAGTTTCTTCATCTATTGAATGAGGGTGAAAATATAAATGAGAAATCAATACATTTCATATAATAATATTAGTACTTACCTCAAACATACTCATAATTTAATAAGGGTTAGCTAAAAGCAAACAGAAACGTGATTAAACGCTCTCCTCCGCAAAAGTAAGCTGGGATATTACTGTCACCACATGTCTTAGTAGGGGACCAACACACAGTAGGTACTTAATGAATATTCTTGCATCAGGGTTCATTACTGTATGGCTCACACTGCATCTTTATCAAAGGCACTACATATTTTGTTTCTCTGGCTCTCTTCTTATTAGGATCAAAAGTGCTATGATTTGAATGTCCCCCAGGTCATGCTGGTTTGTGAATACAACTGACTTTGCCTACATAATGTTTAACAATAATCTTAAATTTAACAAGCATTACCTTGATCCTGCACCCTCACTCTGTGCTCCATTATAGATGGCAAGAAACCCTCAGCTGTCTTCCAAGTGTTCAGGAACAATATCACTTTGGCTATACTGCTCTGGTATTCTAATTAAGATACCTTGACCCTCTATTGGCCACCAGTGTCTTTCATGAGACTATGCCCTGGCTGGGCAGAGCTGTTCTTTATTGGTGGCAGGGCAGTGCAGAGGACTATTGTAGACTGGGTGAGAGAATGGCTCACTCACCAGCTCTGTGCTGCACTTGGCCACCAGGCCCGATAGTACCAACACTATCACAGAGTTGTTTGGGAAGATGATGCCTTAGCTTCTGGTCCCAACTTCTTTCCCCATCAGGCTCAAAACCATCTGAAGCCTCTGGAGACAGCAGGGAATGCAGGCTTCCCACCCATGCTCTCCATTTCTTTTGACAGTTTCCCAAGGCAGCCAGCACAAACATTCACCTTTCCCTTTATTCAGAACCGTAAGTTTTAAGAATGTCAACTTATACAAATAGATGGTTGGCAATGTCGCCAGCTTGTCAGGACCATAAACAATAAGGTTTTGAATCCCACTTTGGTCTTAGGTGGGTCGCCTGGGGCCTGATCCTTCCTTCCTGTATTCCTGCCTCTTAGTGTTTGACATTAAGCTCAAATTCAAAAGGTGTCTCATCTACTCTTGCTTTGTTCCTGTTATTGTCCCCTTGGACAGTGAAATGACTGCAAGTAGAGAGGAGAACCATACATTTCTGAGGCCGAGGCCTCTGTGGCCCTGAGTCCCAGCTGTCTAGCTTCACTGGGGATCCAAGGCTTCAGCCCCTTGGCAACGCGAAGCTTTGGGAATTTCTGTTGTGCTGATGCTGACGTGTGAAACTTTATGCTAACAGTTAACCTGATAACAGTGGCATAGCATTCGGAAGCAATTTAATTTTAATCCTGATTTTTCAGAAAGCTTTTTTGAGCTGATGTAAGTGTTATGAACGCTCCTGTTACTTAAAAAAAAAAAAAAAATTCTGGTAAGGTATATAAGGACCTATGACAATAGGTTCATTTAAAAATTTGCCCTTTCCTGGGACTGGAAGAATGATGCCATGTGTAATAAAGTAATAGAACATGTGTAAAGTATAAAAGAGTGTAGGCTGGGTTCGGTGGCTCAGCCTGTCATTCCAGCACTTTGGGAGGCCAAGGCGAATGGATTGCCTGAGCCTGTGGGTTCGAGACCCACCCAGGCAACTTGGCGAGACCTCGTCTCTACCATAAAAGAAAAAAAAATAGCCAGGCATGGTAGCGTGCACCTGTGTTCCCACTACGTGGAAGACTGAGGTGGAAGGATCGCTGAAGCCCAGCAGGTGGAGGCTGTGGTGGCCGGGAGCGTCCCACCGCCCTCCAGTCTGGGCGACAGAGTGACTCCAACTCAAAAAATAAAAGTATAGTATAGTGTAAATAATAGTGTAAAGATTAATAAGAAGGCAATGGAGAATGCCTCCTCACCCTCACGTGACCCTGACAGTGCATCTGACATTGATGTTCCAGGTTGTTCTGGGTGAACCCGGCCTCTTTCTGATCACATTCCTACCCCAGGGTGACATTAACCCTACGTACCTAGGTGTCCCCTCTCTCCACTATGCAATGCAGTTTTCATGAAGGAACGTTCACAAATTCACATCCCAAGTGCCAATCATGGATATGATAAGGTTTCATGTTGATGGTTCCCAGAGAAGTACTTGCTAAAGACTCCAACTACCAATGTCAGCTCCTCTGCTTCTTTCTATGAGACTTTAACTCAGCACAAGTTCTTAGCCCAGTTTTTCCATTAAAAAAAAAAAAAAGAATATTACCAATCTTACAAGAGGTTTTAGAAAAAATAAATGAAGAAATCAGACTGGAAATACCCTCAGAACAATGCTTGGTCCATGGAAGGTACTCGATGTCTGTTGATTTACTCAACAGAGGACAAAATGTTAATCCAGAGAAAATGACCTTATGTTGTGAGACAGCATGTTATTTGGGATGCATCTGAAGGGCTTTTTTTTTCTCTCTTTGCTCCCACTGTATAGGGAGTTGCCAATTCTGTTCTGTCTTTTCTTTCTATAAGGAATGCCGTACGCTTGTCTTGGTCCTCACCGTGGTCTGAAATGGGTCTGTCTGTGACAGAGACAGGGGCCCCCAAAGTCTCAAGAATGTCAGTCATGTGCTGGGACTTCTTCCAGTTCTCGGAAGTTCATTTCAGCGAGGAGCAGGATCGCCTCCGCGTTTCCAAGACACCCATCTCCAAAACGGTGCGCGAGGAGCCTCAAATATTCCTGCATTTCCGCGATAACCTTTCCGCGATCGCCACGTGGCACCGGGTTCCGAAAGCGCCACGTTCCAGCTGCGGCGGTTCAACACGTGCTTAGCATGCACTCTGCTTGGGATCCACCCCTCGCCTCCGCGTCTCCACAGAGTCCCTGCAGGATGGGGCCACACCTGATGTGACCCTCTAACTTTCCAGCTGGCCTCCGATTCGCGTCACCGAGATGCCTGGAGAGAAGATCCGAGCCCTTTCAGAGATTCGAGACGCCCCACGGCTGGGGGGTCTGCGGCCAGGCGTGCCCCAGGACCCGGCGCCCGGGC